CACTCTTCTAAAAACACCCTCACACTACTAATAAAGTAGAATTATTTTTTACTGTACCTCTGCACTCTATCATGAGGAGAGTCATGACAAACTTTAGGAAAAATATCAATAAATTTTTCATTTGAGTCCATTTGAGGCTTTCATTACTTGTTCTTTACGAGCACAGTTCACCTTGGTCGTAGGAAGACCGAGTATTGATCTCAGTGCGGGTCACCCTTTAACTGTTTGTGCTTTCATCTCAGAACACATAACACCTACAGACATGATAGTCGTACCATTGTGGAGCGGAGGCGCTGATCTTAATTAACGCAATGAACTTTTCTTCAGTTTTGATGGTATAATTTTGAGCGCTCTTAACATATCTTGTGAGCATTCATTTTAAGTCCCTGACCGCAGCTTATATGAGTATGTTGTAAAACCTAGCGTTCAGCAACGCAAACGCATCATGCATGTTTAAACTGTGCGTTTGCCTTAGAGAAACGTAAAAAAAAAAAAAAAGTTTCGTGCACAGTAGTAAATTTAAAATGAGGTTATGAACGTAAGTTTGTGGATGAGACTTATCAAGTTTGCGGTCTCCCGCATCTACGCATAGACAGAGGTGTCTCTATGACACTATATTGACAAATCTAAAATTTACGAATACGAACTAGATAAAAAAGAAAATAAGAACAGCAGTTTCTTACCTTCGCAAAGTCACAAACAACCAAAAGTCAAACGAACTCTATCTGTAAACAACAGTGTTGCACGTGGTTGCACGGAGTAGTCTCGTTGCAGGGATGTGGGTCCAGATAGGTTGGCGTTTGCTAGAGTACGGGGTATCGCCGCTCGGGCGCTGAGGGTAGGCCACCAATTCCACTCAGACACCTGGCGGGCGGGCCTACCCGACGCGCCGCAGGCGTTGTCAGTCACCTGCTTCTCACAATGAGGCAGCCGATGTACAGCGCCAGGGCCTGCAAGATAGAGGGGGTGAGCGGTTAGACCTGGCGGTAAAGTGCCACCCAGAGGACCAGCCGCGCGCGCGTCGCGACTCTTACCTCCTTCTCTCTGAACACGTCGCCGTAGTGTTTGATGATGGCGTACATGGTGTTGGCCACGGAGAAGCCGTGGGTCCAGTTGTGGTACGGCACCCTCCGGTAGTTCTTGCGCACCGTGAGCGCGAAGCGGATCAGACTGTCCTCGTCGAAGCGGCTCAGCCCGAACAGGTCCTTGAACATGTACAAGGCGTGGCGCGCCTTCTCCAGGTCGTCGATCTCGAACACGTTGAAATGGAACCTGCAATCGGAAAATAGGCGGGTTGTGAGATCTAACGTGACAATGTGTTGCCAATGTGGTCTAAATTCGACATAAGGTTGGAAATATTCGAAAAAAATTAAGAAAATTTCCGGAAACTTCAAGGATTTCCAACTCTAGGCCTATTTCGACATCAGTAAAATCATTTTGGCCGAATTGCCAGGAACTGTCCACTTACTGGTCGACCAGGGGCATGTGGTCGGGCACGCCCTTTTCCAGCATGTCCTGCACCTCGTCGTCCAGGCACGTGTTGTGGTAGCTGAGCACGTCGAGCGCCACGCGGTACTTCTGCTCCGAGCGCCGGATCTTGTCGTAGAGCTTGGCGTGGTGCAGGGCCAGGCCGCAGTACACGGCGAACGTCTCAAAGGCCTCCTCGTCCTCCTGAAACAGACAGCGACGAAGTTCTAGTCTGTTTTTCCGCAACTTATACCAACTTCCTTCCTTTTCTTCTACGGAAACCACCCATTGAGAATCCTTTGACGGCCGACGTCAAACAGACATCTGAATAAAAAATCATCCAACAAGGACGCTCGTTTTTCTCAGATCTGAATAAATATGAAGAAACCCTGCAATGGGCGATTAGGTAGCGCATTCACAAACCTGCGTTTAAACGAGTCAAAGTAGGTCCGTAGGTAAATTTGTTAAAATCTTTAATTTTTCAGAAAACGGCTCAAACTCCGGACCTATTGGAGGTACAGCGTCCAGATTTAGCCTGTAGATAACTCTAGTAAAACTGAAAAGACCATGCAATACGCCATCAGCTAGCGCACCGAGAAACCTGCGTTTGAACGACTCAAAATAGGTCGGTAGGTAAATTTGTTAAAAACTTTAATTTCTCGAAAACTATTCATCCCTCAGCGACCTGGCTTTGCAAGGCGGTTTATATTCATGGGCCGAACATTCCCTGATAGCTCCTATCCCGAGGGGTAAAAAATAAAAAAAATAAAATATACCCCCATAAGTCAAGATACGAACCTACGACACGGCAAGCCGAAACGAGCACCGATCCAGCACGGAACTTCCTGAGCCACCAGACCCCACGCACGTCCCGCCATCACACACCGATATAGAAGGCATGCCCTGCAGCTCCGTCAAACGGCGGGGTGCGCGTGCCTCCGGCCCGGAGAGCCAGAAGTGCCCCCATTCGGCCGCTCCGTGACAGAA